ATTAAACTTAACTAAACATATTTACTTCTATTACCTTTTATTTCCCATGACACTTATAAAGCTAAAAAGGGGCCTTTTATGTCTGAAACAAAAATGAAACTGATGTCAAATAAGTTAAGACTGCAGAAATCTGTAAACTGACATCTAGTGGTCAAGAATGAGATAGCAGCTATCTGAACATCCTGATGCTTTTAACCAGGTAGAAAAATCWAAAAAGAGAAAATTTAGTACAACCTGTTTGTCCAGGTGGAGGCGGAGCTTATAAGGCTGAGTTCACCTGAAACTCTCAGACTGAAGAAGTCTGTTGGAGGAGAGACGAAACGTTTCATTAAAGAAGAACCATCCAGTTTTGCAGCTGTCTAAACTCTCATCAACCCAACGACTAACTACAAAACTCCTCTGTTATGGTAAGATAAATTACTAAGCAATTTGTAAAGTTTTTGTACTCATTACATTTGAAAGAACACAAAAATATTTATTTTGGTTTTCTCTTTTCATCAGTGCCAAATTTGGTTTGCCTTACTTCTCTGAACAGCTTTTTCTACATGCTATTGTCAGTTTTTACATATTAATATATTCGTTTACGGAATAAACCTCAATGTCTCACAAAAACAATAGGAAGTTWAACATAGTTCAGATTGAAAACCAGTTAGATTCTGACCCAGCCTCAGTATTAAAATAATACATTTTGTATTTGTTGTCACAAATATTTGTACTAAAACTTTTTTTGAAAGGTCCCAATGGCAAAATGGTTAATTTACAAATGTGTATAAATTTGTTAGTATCCTTAAAGAAAACCCCATAGAGAAGGCTGTCTACAGTCATGTGGACCTTAAACACACACAGGTGTTTCTCAGATATATTCTACATTGGGATTGTGGTTGCCACTAAATACATTTTGTATAAACTTATACTGGTACTTTTCAGTGAAGTTATTATTATWCATGCATATGAAGCCTAGGCGTTAATTCAGTCTGGAAGACTCCTCCCAGCCTCACTTGCTGCATCTAATCTCCATGTAATGCATCACCACAGCAAGCCTATCAGCAAGGACCTTCGCCTTGCTGCAGCCAATCATCACRTACGCCCTCACTTATTAGGTCAGGGCYATTCAACTAAACTGCTGCGGGGGCCACAGTTAATGCAGGTCAACAGCTGAAGGGCCGAACATCCAGCAGTTAATGTCCTGATGCATCTCAGTAATCCAGGTAGAAAAAAATCAAAAAGAAAAAATCAGCAGGTCCTCTGGATGGTTCTTCTTT